TCAAACTCCCCCATCCCGATCGAGACGGCCCTGACAAGAGTAAGCATTGTGCTTACCATCGATGCGCCGGGCATGACACCGAGGAGTGTACCCACTTGCGCCAATTGTTAGAAGATCTGCTTAACATGGGAAAATTGGACAAATGCGTGGGGAAGAGAGAAGACAATAAGAGGAATACCGATCGGAGAGATCACAGGCGTTCTCATCACCGCTCCGATCGACCAGGTCAGGACCGAAGAGACGATCGAAGGGACGATCGTCATGATGACCGACGGGACCCTGACCCTCCGTCTGGTAGCCGCCCGTCCGGAAAGCCTACCATCCATGTCATTTTTGGTGGACTGGAAGATGCTTCCCGACCGCGGACTAATTGCCCGGTCGCTATAGTGGATTCCCGGGAGACCGGGAAGAGGCAGAAGATGGAGCCCATAACCTTCACCCTCGAAGACCAACCTAGCAGCAGTGACCACGGCATGGAGGCGCTCGTGGTCACGATTGACGTTAAGGGGACAGACGTCCAGAGGGTTATGGTTGATACGGGCAGCAGTGTGAACGTCCTATACTTGGACGTCTTTGAGAAGCTTGGCCTCGACAGGAAGGAGCTGACTCCGGTCGGTGTACCACTGTCAGGATTTACCGGGGCTCTTATTTACCCCGAGGGAAAACTAACACTCCCAGTCGAGATCGGCGCACCTCCAAAGTCGATCCAAACGGAGCTAGAATTTGTTGTGGTCAACCTCCATTGCGTCCACAACATTATCTTGGGCCGACCCGCCATTATGAAGATCGGTGGGATAATTTCTATGCCCCACTTATGCATGAAGTTCCCCACCCCTAATGGGGTCGGTGTGGTCCGTGGCGATGTCCAATCCGCCCGGAAATGTTACACCCGAGCGGTTAATAGACGCGACTCCGGTCCGTCTTCCCGGGTGAACACCATAGCCAAGGAGGAGGCTAAGGATCTGAAGGAACAACCTGAGCCTTCCGAAGAAATAGAAGAAGTTCCCCTGTCCGAGGACCGCCCGGATAGGAAGATCAAGATTGGCCGAGCCCTCACCCCCGAGCTTCGAACGGAAGTTTTGGCCATACTCCGGGAGTATGCTGATATCTTTGCGTGGGGGCCTGAAGACATGCCCGGGATCGATCGATCGGTCATCTGTCACAAATTGGCCGTCGATCCCTCAGCCAAGCCGGTCGTGCAGAAAACACGACACCTTTCCTCCGATCGCCGCGAATTTGTCAGAGAAGAAGTCAAAAAGATGGCGGCGATCGAACACATCCGCCGGTGGTTTATCCCGAGTGGGTGGCAAATATCGTTCTTGTTCCTAAGCCCCCAACATGGAGGATGTGCATCGATTTTACGGACCTCAACAGGGCCTGTCCGCTCGACCCGTATCCTCTACCGAGCATACACCAGATGGTCGACGAGACGGCCGGGGCCGAATTAATGAGCTTCATGGATGCCTTCAAGGGATACCATCAGATCATGATGCACCATGAAGATGAGAGCAAGACAGCCTTCGTGACCCCGGACGGGCTGTATTGTTACCGAGTGATGCCGTTCGGTCTCCGGAACGCAGGGGCGACCTACCAGAGGATGGTCAATATACTCTTTGTCGATCTATTGGGCCGAACGATGGAAGCTTACATCGATGACATGCTGGTCAAGAGTCGGGACCGATCTGACCACACTCGGGATCTCCAGGAGTGCTTCCAGATCATGGGGAAGTACCAGTTGCGGCTGAACCCGACCAAGTGCACATTCGCGGTTCAGACCGGCAAGTTCCTCGGCTATATGATGACCAAGAGAGGAATTGAGCCCAACCCGGCCAAAGTAAAAGCGATTCTGGACATGCAACCACCTTCCACCGTTCGGGAAGTCCAGCAATTGACCGGCCGGTTGGCAGCCCTCAGCCGGTTCCTCTCCAAGCTAGCCGAGCGCGCTTTACCTTTCTTCAAGGTATTGCGGAAGGTTAATGGATTCGTCTGGGACGAAGAGTGCCGAGCGGCTTTTGATGAGCTGAAGGAATATCTCATGTCACCGATCGTGCTCTCAAAGCCTGAGCTCGGAGAAGAGCTAGACGTGTACCTCGCCGTGTCCGATCGCGCAGTAAGCGCAGTGTTGTGCCGAACCGATCCGGAAGGGGTCCAGCGACCGGTGTACTATGTAAGCCACGCGCTACATGGTCCCGAGCTCCGGTACTCCCGGCTAGAGAAGGTCGTCTACGCCTTATACATTGCCGCGAAGAAGTTGGCTCCCTACTTCCAAGGTCGAGCAATTCGCGTGTTGACCGATCAGCCGATCGGGCCAGTCCTCCGAACCGCTTCATCATCCGGCCGCCTAGTCAAGTGGGCGTTAATGCTGACACAATACGCGATCGAATACCGACCAAGACCAGCTATCAATGGACAGGCCCTTGCTGATTTCTTAGTCGAGTGCACCGCCCGGGATACCCGACCCCCCGAGGTAGCGGATCCCGAGGTTGAGTGGTGGTCGTTGGCTACTGACGGGTCGAGTAGCAAGAAAGGAGCAGGAGGAGGGGTGGTGGTCACGAGCCGGGAAGGATTCAAGGTTTATTTTGCTCTCATGTATCAGTTCCACCCGACCAATAATGAAGCCGAATACGAAGCCTTTGTTAATGGCTTACAGTGTGCTCGGGATTTGGGGGCTGAATACATCCGGGCTCAAACAGATTCTGCGCTCGTGGTCGGGCAAGTTCTCGGGGATTATGAAGTCAATGGAGAGCGTTTGCAGCTATACCGAGACCTTGCCATGGAGAAGCTTGCTCAGTTCCGGGGGTATACCGTCCGGCATATACCTCGATTGGATAACGCCGACGCAGATATCTTATCTAAATTGGCTCAAGACGCCCCGGAACACATGTCGAAGATAGCTCAGATTTTGGTGATCCCGAGACATAGCATCCATCGTCTACCGGTCAATCCAATCCAACCGGCAGAAGACAATTGGATCACCGATCTGAAGGAGTTCCTCGAGCACGGTCGACTTCCAGACGACCCTCAGCGTGCTCGAAAGGCCAAGTTGAGAGCCCCGAGGTTCCAAGTCTTGAATGGCCGTCTCTACAGGCGATCGTATGGAGACCCTCTCATGCATTGCTTGACCGCATTTGAGGCCGATTTAGTCATGAAGGAACTTCACTCGGGAATCTGCTCTTCGCATCAAGGAGGCCGATCGCTTGCCCGTCGTATCATGCTGATCGGGTACTATTGGCCGTCCCTCCAGCTAGACTGTGAAAAGTTAGCTCGGGAATGTGAGACGTGCCAACTGTACGCCCGGATGCCTGGACGACCGGCAACCTTCTATCAACCAGTCACGACCGCAATTCCTTTCGCTAGGTGGGGGGTGGATATCTTGGGCCCCTTCCCTCAGCTCTCTGGTCGAAGAAGGTTCGTGATTGTCGCCGTTGATTATTTCTCCAAGTGGGTAGAAGCCGAGCCCTTAGCCACGATCACCTCTTAGCAATGTACTCATTTTCTCTGGCGAAATGTGGTTTCCCGCTTTGGCGTGCCCGTACCTCTCATCAGTGACAATGGCCGCCATTTCGTAAGCCAGTACTTCCAGAACTTTTTGGCCACGATCGGGACGACTCACATCCGATCGTCGGTGGCTTACCCGCAGGGAAACGGACAAGTGGAGAATGCTAACCGGACGATATTGGAAGGTTTGAAAACGAAGCTACATTCGGCTGGTCGTAGTTGGGCCGATGAGTTGCCATATGTGCTGTGGACTTATCGGACGACCCCGAGAGAAGCTACTTTAGAGACCCCTTTCGCCCTGGTTTATGGAGCCGAAGCTCGACTCCCGATCGAAGCTTGGATCCCGACCGATCGAGAGAGAACTTACAATGCGGAGGAGAATGAGCATGCGATGGCCGTAGACCTCGATGCGATCGAAGAAAAAAGAGAGCTAGCCGCTCGGCGTATGGCCGAATACCAGAAGCGTGTTAAGAGTTCTAAAGACGTTCGGGTCAACCCTCGTTATTTTCAGGTTAGAGATTATGTTCTACGACGAAGGGAGGCCAGTCAACCTTTAGAGGGCGGAAAGCTAGCTCAAAACTGGGAAGGGCCGTACATCATCAGCGCGATCATACGGCCGGGTACATACCGACTGGAGACGACAACCGGTCGGGTAATCGAGGGGACTTGGAATTCCGAGCACCTCGTCATGTTTAGGCATTAAGCCTATTTTTTGTAATCTTTGGACGAAGAGGGGGCTTAACCTGTGTGTAGGTCCCGGTCGTCGTTTGTAGTTAAATTCCTATGTTTGTAGATATTAACCGCCTGCGAGCGGGAAGGTTTTAATGTATATACGATCGGTGATTGCTTGACCGCTTGCATGCGGCGGCCCGGTCGGTCATTTTCTTTACCTTCGGTGCACGCAGATCAATTTATCTTCAAGCTACACCGACCGGGCGAATTTATCGACCGGTCAGACGCGCTCCACATCGGCGGACATTCGAGTTACGCCACCGGTCGGGGAAGCCAGGAGCACACAGCATAATTCCCCGATCTGATCACTTCTTGTCCACTATTGCACTCACTCGTACCATCAGAGCACAATAGTGTGGGGGCTGGGATGAAGGAAGTATTTACAGGCCCGTCGTTCGGAAGGCCCGTCGTTCGGAAGTATCCCGACCGTAGAGGCTTACTTATTTTCAAAAATTTTGACAGGGCCTGGAGACCGGGTAAACCCGATCAGGTTGGCCAGTTTGATGTCGAAATCTCGGATGCACGACCGGGCCATAAAGCCATAAGGTCGGGCGTCGAACGGATCGAGTAGTGCAGGACCGGGCCAAAAGGCCATGAGGTCGAGCATTAAGGGTCGGCATGTGCATGACTAAAAGTAAAAAAGCAGAAAGAAAGACGAACAATATAAGTTTAACAAAAAACGAGTTTCATTGATTGAAAAAGAGTGCCCGGTACAGATTCGGGACCGGGCTCCCGATCAGTGTTCCTTTACAAAAAAGAAGAAGCCTATTCTACTTCTTTACTTCCTGAGCTCCAGCAGCCGTTTCCTTCCCGCTCGGAGTGGCCGCAGACGATCCACCAGGCCCGGCCGCCTTTTCTTTCGGAGCGAAGGGAGAGGGACCGGGGTCAGCTAGGTCTGGGGGCAAGGTCGATAGGACCAATTGGAGGTCGTCTCCTTCAAGAGCTTGCTCCATCCGGGTACGAGCTCGCTCGAGCATTTTGCGTTGCCCGGCTTTGAAGGCCCATCGTCCAAAGGAGAGAATCAGGTCCTCTCCGACCTTTGTTCCCCGGGCCGCTGTGAGAAACGCCGAGCCCGACTCGCTGTCCTTGAAGACAGACTGCACCAACTCGCTCGGATTGTCGAGTCGGGCCTTCAGTTCCTTGGCTTCCCCGATCGCCCGTTGGGCGACCTTCTCCGTGAGAACCCGGTCTTCCTCGCTCTTCTTTAGGCCCTTCTGGACCTTCTCCAGCTCGGCCTGGATGTCCTTGATTTCCTTCAAGCGACGAGCGGCCGTCTTCTTGTGATGGTCGGCTTCTTCGGCCAGCATGGCCCGACCATGTAGGAGCTGGGCCGCTCGAGAAATCTGCGGTACAAAAAGACATTTGAAATTAGCCCGGATGAAGATACTTGTACAAAAGAGAAAGGCAGTGGGAGAAAGCTTACCTCGGCCAGGTCATGGCCAATCCTCTCGGCCACTTGGGTTGGGGTCATCTTCCCCAGATCCTCCTTTGCTGGCCCGGCGTTGCCAATCCGGGCCAATATAGACGTGTCGTCCTTCCCTCGCCCGACCGAGGGGCTCGGACTGCGTTGTTCTCGACGGCGTTTCATGCCGCCCACCTCGGTCACGCCCTGGTCGGAGACCCTCTCCTTACCACGGGCGACTTCCACCCGGGTGACCAGGACGTCTGAGGGCTCGACGATGAAGCCCTCGGCCGTCGTCGCGGTCGAGGCGCTTAGCGGTCGGGCCGAGGGGATCTCCTTCTCCCCGGCTAGCTTCACCTTCGCCTTCTTCTTGCCGCCAAGGGAGATCTTGGCGGGCGGGGGAAGGGGGGCATCTTCGTCTCCGAACTCGGCCATGGCTGCAAATAAAGAAGCAAAGTTAGATTGATCGGAATATAAAGTTAGATCGGGAAGAGAAGCTCGGGTTAAACCTTTCTTCTTCCGCCTCGACGGCTTGGCGACCGTCACGCCCATAGGTACGGGCAGATATTTTTCCCGTAGCTCATACGTAGGGGGCGGGAGTTTAGCCGCCTCGAGACTCTCGGCCGTTCGGAAGATTGTATACTCGTGCAGCTCGCTCGAGATCCGAGCGACCGTCTCCTTGAGCACTTGTGTCTCGTCTGGCACCACTTGTTTCCGAAAGTGGGTGCTCCAAGCGCGGTCGACCGGGAGGATCCAGGGATCGTATTTGATGGAGAAAATTCTATTCTTCCACCCCTTGTTGTTCCCGGGCAGGCCTTTGATGGCGCACATGTCCGCCCGAGACTGCAGCATTAGAAACCCGCCTCCGTAGCTGCCCGGGAGAACTTTGACCTGGTAGATGTAGTTGAATAACTCCATCGTGCAGGCGGCTTCGTGCCGAGCGCATATCTGGGGAAAGCAGGCGATGATCCGGTGCGAGTTGGGGCAGATCTGAGCCGGGACGACCCGGTAGTATGCCAAGAAGGCCGTCAAGAGCGGGGGGAAGGGAATGGCGATCGGGGCCATCAGGGAGTCATAATGCATCCCGATCCACTTGCCCCGGTGCCGATCGATCACATTCCCTAACTTTCGGCTCGTGTCAAATTCCACCCGACCTCTGAGCCTTTCAGCAATCCTAGCCGCTTCGCCTTTGGTCAATTGGCTCATTTGTTGTTCGACATTCTCGCTGTTCAAGAATTCGAACTCCATTGCTGCTGGTGCGCTTGGCCCAGCTGTGTCTTCCTCGGCCGGCTCGGGAGTATTTTCCCGGTCGCCTCGTCGAGGAGCAGTTTCCGGGTGGTCCCCAACCACCCGGGTAGGCGTTTCCCTAACGCCTTCGGGCAGGGAGCCCTGTCTGCCTGATGAGGCTCCTTCTTCTTCCTCTTCGCCGGAACTCCCCGATCCGCTTGAGCTGGAGCTCGATGACCCAGAGGAGCTTGACGCGTTGTCTTGTTCGGAAGCCCGCTCGGGGGCTGGCGCCGGTCGGTGGATGACCTCGGGAGAGTAGGACATGATGTCCACCTCCTCATCGCTGAGGTACTCGACCTCCTCGTCATAGTCCGCGATCGAGGCGTTCTGGCTGTTCGAGTCCGTCATTTCGATCTACCTAAAGGTCGGTCGGGGTTAGTAAGGGACTTGAGACGTCCGGGACAGTTAGTTGGCCTATCAGTTCTACTTATAAATGAAAACGCAAAGTAAAGGGAGGGGTTGAGAACTTACCGGATGGAGGAACTTTGCGGATGAAAGCTTGAAGGTTTCCTTGCTCGACTGCCTTGCTAGGGTACTCTGCTCGGGGCTCTCTGAGAGTACCGACTGAAGCAAAAGAGTGAGGAAAGTTCAAATGAGGGCCTCAAGGGCCTATTTATAGGAGAGCATTTAGGCGGAAAACGAGCCCACTTGCTTGACACGACCCGCACTGATTCCGAGGCGACGGTTGCAGTCGCAGAGGCCGGCAGTGGCCGACACGTGGCGAGGAGAGGAATGTCAGCTGGCAGGTCGGGTTGATGGCCGGCGGTTGAGCTTCTTCATCCCGTCCCGTTTTTTCCCGTACGATCAAAAAGGCCCGGGCTGGGGGGCTCTTGGTAGGGAATATCCCGACCGACATAGCTTCACCACGACCGAGATGCCTTCGTCCTTTTCTCTTTTATCTTTTGCAGGTAACAGGTCGGGCTCCTCGTGAAAAACCCGGTCGGGAGTTGCCCGAGCGACAGTGTCGACCACCGAGCGGTAGCCCTTTGGCGAGAGAGCTGATAAAAGACACGTGGCGGCTCTCTACATCGACAGACAGGGCACCCGCGAGAATGACACGTGGAGGCTACGTGGAGAGCATGCCGAACGACCGGATCTTTGTCTCCGGCACAGCGGCTATAAATACCCACAGTAGCTACAGTGGGGGGGACTTTTGGACGATCGATAGGTTGTTGTTAGAGAATCCCGACCGCAGTCAGTCGGTACTCAGAGCGACCCAGTAGATTGTACTTAGGGCCTCTACCGTGATCAATAAAGACATCTACTTGCTTTAATTGGTCTCGAGTTATTTCATATTGCTTACGTATAATTAGCAGTATCAGTGGTGTATGAGTAATGATACATACTCTACTCTGACCACTTTGTTGAGAGTTGTTTGAGCCGTAAGGCTGGTGAGTTGGGTTCTAGTCGCAACACGAAACCTCTCAAATTTCAAGACTTTTTCGGTACAACTGAGAGGTTTCATGTTGCGACTAAAACTCAACTCACCAGCCTTACGACTCAAACAACTCTCAACAGAGTGATCAGGAGTAGAATATGCATCACTACTCATACACCACCCTCCTCCCTGAATCAAAGTTTTAATTCAGGGAGGAGGGTGGTGTATGAGTAATGTTACATATTCTACTCCTGACCACTCTGTTGAGAGTTGTTTGAGCCGTAAGGCCGGTGAGTTGGGTTCTAGTCGCAACATGAAACCTCTCAAATTTCAAGACTTTTTCGGTACAACTGAGAGGTTTCATGTTGCGACTAGAACTCAACTCACCGGCCTTACGGCTCAAACAACTCTCAACAGAGTGATCAGGTGTAGAATATGCATCAGTACTCATACAACACCCTCCTCGCTGAATCAAAGTTTTAATTCAGGGAGGAGGGTGGTGTATGAGTAATGATACATATTCTACTCCTGATCACTCTGTTTAGAGTTGTTTGAGCCGTAAGGCTGGTATGTTGGGTTCTAGTCGCATCATGAAACCTCTCAGTTGTACCGAAAAAGTCTTGAAATTTGAGAGGTTTCATGTTGCGACTAGAACCCAACTCACCAGCCTTGCGGCTCAAACAACTCTCAACAGAGTGATCAGGAGTAAAATATGCATCATTCCTCATACACCACCCTCCTCCCTGAATCAAAGTTTTAATTCAGGGAAGAGGGTGGTGTATGAGAAATGATACATATTCTACTCTTGACCACTCTGTTGAGAGTTGTTTGAGCCGTTAGGCTGGGAGTTGGGTTCCAGTCTCAACATGAAACCTCTCAAATTTCAAGACTTTTTCGTTACAACTGAGAGGTTTCATGTTGCGACTAGAACTCAACTCACCGGCCTTACGGCTCAAAAAAACTCACATCAGAGTGATCAATTGTAGAATATGCATCATTACTCATACACCACCCTCTTCCCTGAATCAAAGTTTTAACTCAGGGAGGAGGGTGGTGTATGAGAAATGATACATATTCTACTCCTGACCACTCTGTTGAGAGTTGTTTGAGCCGTAAGGTTGGTGAGTTGGGTTCTAGTCGCAACATGAAACCTCACAGTTGTACCGAAAAAGTTTTGAAATTTGAGAGGTTTCATGTTGCGACTAGAACCCAACTCACCGGCCTTACGGCTCAAACAACTCTCAACAGAGTGATCAGGAGTAGACTATGCATCATTACTCATACACCACCCTCCTCCCTGAATCAAAGTTTTAATTCATGGAGGAGGGTGGTGTATGAGTAATGATACATATTCTACTCCTGATCACTCTGTTGAGAGTTGTTTGAGCCGTAAGGCTGGTGAGTTGGGTTCTAGTCGCAACATGAAACCTCTCAGTTGTACCGAAAAAGTCTTGAAATTTGAGAGGTTTCGTTTTGCGATTAGAACCCAACTCGCCAACCTTACGGCTCAAACAACTCTCAACAGAGTGGTCAGAGTAGAGTATGTATCATTACTCATACACCACCCTCCTCCCTGAATTAAAACTGAGAGTGATCAGGAGTAGAATATGCATCATTACTCATACACCACCCTCCTCCCTGAATCAAAGTTTTAATTCAGGGAAGAGGGTGGTGTATGAGTAATGATACATACTCTACTCTGACCACTCTGTTGAGAGTTGTTTGAGCCGTAAGGCTGGCGAGTTGGGTTCTAATCGCAAAACGAAACCTCTCAAATTTCAAGACTTTTTCGGTACAACTGAAAGGTTTCATGTTGCGACTAGAACCCAACTCACCAGCCTTACGGCTCAAACAACTCTCAACAGAGTGATCAGGAGTAGAATATGTATCATTACTCATACACCATCCTCCTCCATGAATTAAAACTTTGATTCAGGGAGGAGGGTGGTGTATGAGTAATGATGCATAGTCTACTCCTGATCACTCTGTTGAGAGTTGTTTGAGCCGTAAGGCCGGTGAGTTGGGTTCTAGTCGCAACATGAAACCTCTACCTTTATTATAACATTGGTCTGTTGGTTTGTAAGTTTAATTACATACGAATATGTTGTGTGAAAAGATTCTTTATTCTAATAATAATTAATTTATAATTGAATGTATATAGTTTCGACAGAAATTATATTAAACAATTGTTGTTAATCCGTTCGTTAATAATACATTCACTATTTATTTAAAAAAAATTACAGCGACATTTTTATATATAATTAAACTTTGAAGTGAAAGTAATTTAGAATAAAAGTGCAAGTAACAATTTTATATAGTGCATCTAAGTTCAAGTAAAATGTATTAAAAGTGAAAGTAAAATGTATTAGAAGAGCAACAAATTAAATAATATATATTGAGCATCTAAGTGCACCTAACGTTATTATTAGATGCACCAATGTTAAAAATGTAAATTACTTACACTATTAACTGAAAAGAATAGTACTTTTAAGTAATTTTACTTGCACTTTTATGTGCACACTTGTACCAGCTACTTGTACGTTTAATATATTTTATTTGCACGTTGCACCGAAGTTTGAATTATTTACGAAAATGTCACTATGTCTTTTTAAAATAATTTACATCTGATCCGTTAAATATAAACACGTGGACGGCTACGATTGATTCATAGTTCTTTTTTTTGTGCAACCATTCTCACCTAAGTGTGGCTCTCTCTCTATATATACGCGACCGTTCTCAAGTACGGTGGCGTATTACCGACAATGCGCGACCATTTCTAAATGGTGGCGTAAAGTTCATGGCTTTCCGCGAGCCTCACATAAGCGACCATTGTACAATGGTCGTACAATGTCTTTTACAATGGTCGCGTATGTACAATTTTGTACTAGTGTGAAAATATATACACCACATCTTCTTGCTAAGTTACATCAGTTTGCATTAAAAGAATAGAGAACATATAAATTTTAAGTCGGGGTTAAGAATATGTACCTGTTAATACTAAAGCCTCTCTCCAAGATACTGAAACACATAAGTTTTACCTCAACATCCCAGATTCGAACCACAGAATCTGCCTGACGACGGTGTACATGAGGTCCACTGTGTCCTGATGACTCTGCTTGACTGCCCGAACGCATGGGTGAATCAACTGATCGCCAATCCGGGTCCTGTGGTCCCGATCTGACGCATTGCCGGCCGAAGACGTTCAAACGCGCTTGCACGGTTATCCTGTGGCTCGGGCTCGTCTTCTGCCTTGACGTGTGTTTCCTGCCGTGGTTCCTCCATGGCCCCTGCCCGCTGCGATCCCAACCTTGAGCGAGCCGAGCGCCTAGTCCGGGGACCGGGCTGAAGCTCGAACTCGGTCCGCATAACCGGTTGGTTCGGGAGAATAGGAGCTGGAGCCGTGTACGCAGGCGTGTAAGCTTGATAACTGCCCGGCGGATAATACATTGGGGTCCCGAGCAAGTAGCCATATGGGGCGGGTGGTGCTGGATGTGGAAAATATCCCGGGTACGGATATTGTTGACCAAGCGGTGGATACATTGGCTGGACATAATTGACCGGATCTGGAGCCACCGAGTGAGGGGGTGAGAGGTTGAGATTTAGGTCGACGGTCGGACCATACTGAGTGTGATGATCAGAGGAGCTGTCCACATCCTCTTGTATATCTCGCATATATGTATACATGTTTTTTGGGATATAGATACTTCGTCGTTCGTGACTGATTGTACCGATCCCCACAGACGGCGCCAAAATGATAGTACTAGTGTCCACGTGTAAGCGGTGTACGTACTGTATATAAAATGAGGGTACGAATAAGAAGAAGTATATTTATTAAAAGGGTGACCTAATACAATCTAAATGACCACTTCGAGGGCCGACTGACTGCGGTCAGACAACTCTGTAAGTAGTCTACTGATCGTTCCAAAAGTCCCCTTTCTCCTTATCCGCCGTTGATATTCATAGACTCTCGCTGGGGACAGCCTCCGGCCTATCAGCATGTGTTACACGCATCCTCCACGTGACAACACCTGATAATAATCCTCTGTCAACGTTTGATGTTGCCACGTGCCCCTCTTTATTAACAGCGCTTCCATATAAAGCAAAGGTATGACCGTCGAGCAGAACATCGATCGGTCGGGAAAGGAATTAACCGGTCGGACCCAATTGTCCCTAAGCAGAAATCATTCACAAGGCTGTTCGGACGACCGGTACTGACCGCCTCCTCGTTGATGTGCTCGGGCAAAGGGAACGAACTGAATAAAAAGGGATAAGAGCCTAGGTCGTTCGGATATATCCTAACAGGCATATTATATTATTTGTTTACTTTTATATTGCAATAAAATAGAGAAATGGGTAGACGACAAAGAACATTTATTGTCATTTTATTTTAATTGAACAAACTTCTTTTCCACTAATGAAGGTGTCCATTTTCATTATTACTAATTTATAATTTCCTATCCACGTATGTACCCACGTGATTGATTCATTTTAATGTTCTACAATGATTGATTCATTTGATTGCCCAACATTACTTACGAATAATGGAATTTAGCATAGTAGTAACTACAGAGTATTATAATTTAATTCAATACATCAATCCTACATAAATTATATAAACGTAATTTATATTTTAATAATTATTGTTGGTGATAATGCACCACAATCAATTTAATATCCGTAAAATAATATTTATATATATACACACGAAATATATATAAAATATTATTGGATATATATATCCGAAATATATATATACACACAAATATATATAAGACGAACCCAACGGTTATATATAAATGTATATCTACGAAAAAGATATACCAATATATATCAACCAAAAAGAAAATATAATCCTTAGATTATAATTCCAAATTAACAAGAAAGAACGAATTTTTGCTTAAAAGCATAATCCAAAAACAAGAAAGAAGGAGAAGGAAGAAAGAAATGTACGAGTTAGGCAAGGTGTCTTTCTTTCCTTAAAACCTTATTTGCCACCTCCCAAAAGTGCTAGGAGCGTTGTGGCCTAGGTCTCCCAGGATAAAAAGTACAACGGTTCGACGTTTGAGCACCCAAACGAACGAACCCGGCGAACGAGAGCACGGGCAAAACACAGCTTCAAGAATGGAGTAGAAGCAGAAGTATTTTGAGGCTTGGAAAAAAATATTTTTCTTGTGTGTTAAAAATGCTACTGCTCAACTCCTTCTTATATATGTTGTGAGGAGTAAATAGCCTTTATTATGGCATTTAGAGGATCCCTACAACTTCTTGTTACATCCACCATTAACATGGGTGTTAATTCAAAAATTAAAATTGCCATTAATTCCATAACAGCTGGAATTAAATCCCAACAGTCACAAAATTAGAAGCTGTAGGAAAACTGTGCATGGCTAGCACAATTTCGGCCAAAGCCGAAACTGCCTTGGCCGAAACTTTGCATGCAAAGTTTCGGCCATTTCCATTTGACTTAATGCAAAGTTTCGGCCATTAGGCCCAAAACTTTGCAATGCAAAGTTTCGGCCACTTGGCCATTTCAAAGTTTCGGCCAAGTGGCCGAAACTTGCACTTAACCTCCACGAAATTATTTTCGGCCAAGTGGCCGAAACTCGAAATTATTTTTGTGTATCCCAGTGGCTGTGTCGGAAAATGAATACTGAAATTTTGGGATTTGATTTGCACCCCCCTGCACGCGAGAGAGCCTCTATGCTATACAGTTCAATAAGCTTAAAAAGAGCTCATGTATAAATAGTGGGGCAAATTCTCTTCCCAAATCAATGTGGGATAAAAGCTCACTTTTTCCCTTTATTTTTCAACTCAAATTGGTCTACTTTGAGAATCAATATCTCATTCACCCATTATCCGTTTTGAGCGTACAATATATCAATCTCTTCGTCTCACTACGAACAACCCGAATCCACTTTGACCCGACCAAAATCGGAAGTGGACCCCACTGATAATTGTACCACAAAATAGCCACTTAATATGCCATTTTAAGCTATTTTTTTCAACAATTATTACAAAGAGAAAAATTTAATTTCACAAGTTAGTATTAATATCCTATCAACTCGATCATCTTATCCGTTATGACAATATATTTATATATACACACAAATCTAGATTTACATAGTACCCCCATGTAAATCTAGATTGTATAACAAAATTAGTGATTACAAAAATGTCATTTTTAAAAAAAATTGATATGATTTATGATTATTTCACATGTAAAGTTGAGATTAATTTTAAATTTTTTTTACACGTGATCATATATATATAATTCTTATTCTTTATAGGGGCTCATGCTTATTCTCGGTCGAACTCGTGCTAAACTTATTGTGATATTTTAATTAATTTTAGTAACTAAATCAATTTGTTTCTCGGTGTACTTTATATTATTGCTAGGTGTTCTCTAAAGGCAAACAATAAGTAATAAACTCTCAAGTAAACTTTCAAACCAAATTTAAAACGTAAAATTATAAACTCAAAAAAAAAATTAAACCATTAATTATAAAAGTTAGACAATTTCAGTACATCTATATATATTTTCAGCATTGTGCAAGTTTACAAGTCCATATTGCATCTACATATTGTTGCAACCTGAATCAAGTCTTCATATTTTCTGTCAGCTTCCTCAACTTCCTGTGTGAGAGGTTTTAGAACAAAATAACCTGTTCAATTTGACAATGTGCCTAAGTAATATGGCACATTGCTTGGGTCTATAAAATTGACAGGTTGTTTGTCAAAATACCTGTCAAGGAATGTTGTCTCAACGGGCTGGTAAAAAAAAAAAGATTATATGTCATAATGTATAGGTTACCTTTTCATGGTCCTTCGTCCACTAAGACTACAAGACAGGGTTTATTTAAAAAAAAAAAGATTAATACAAGACTTTATTTTGTTACCTTAGATTTTGTATCTGCAAACATTGGCTTCTTATAAGAGTCAAACGCAAAGCTATGACCAAACTTTGACGTCACAATATATCCTTTGGTCGTAGAGGAGTGCGACAATGCACTTATTATTTGCTTTTTGAAATCTAAAACAAAAAATTAAAATAATGTCAAATTGAAATTAATTTAATTTATGGAATAAAATTATTTTGTAATAAAAATGGAAACATGCCTTATAACAGAGCCATATCACTTGGATTAATAGATGAGTGATTCTTAATGGCCTGGTACAAATCCATTGAGTAAGTAATTCGTTCCTATTAAGAAGCCACATTAAAATTACTAAAAAGTAAAATTAATATTAAGCATTTAAATATACCAATAAATTAAGTGGAACTAACCTGATATGAATCGAACCCTAACTGAAAAATAAAAAGGGACAACTTCACATATTCCACTAATTAAAATTTTGGTTAGAAGCACTGCATAAATTCCAAGTTACATAACATTAGAAGAAGTTTTTTTTATTTCATTAAATGTTAACAATAATATATATATATATATATATATATATATATATATATATATATATATAACCAGTTTGGTTGGGATTTTGAATTCGAATCCCTTTCGTACGGAATATATATATATATATATATATATATATATATATATATATATATATATATATATATATATATATTGTTTAGAAATATACTTATTAAATCTTATACTTTAAATAGACTCTTTTTTGAAGTGCACTCTCTAGGTAATGCCTTGCTTGGTTGCTAAATAAAATCCAAAATTAATGTCTTGTCAAAAATGAAAAGTGTTAAATATAAACACACAAAGGCCAAGAGGGAAAGAGGAGAGAATTATTTCCTGCATAGCAATTAATCGCTAAAAATAGCCTTAAAGAATTTTGCATGTGGGGGATCTTTCCTGTTAAGATAATCATATAGATTTTAGAATCAGATTAATCAAACATACCATATGTATTTTCTTAAAAATTTTCCTATTATAACAATTAATCTTACATGACAAGAAAGAGAGAACTATCTGAAAGACATTTTACTCTTAACGCCCGTTGAAAATCGATTAGTAATCGATCACAGTGTACCAACATACATAATCCATATGTCGAACCACCAGCATAAATGACCTATTATTTTGCTGATAATAGGTCATTTTTGCTGGTGGTTCGGCATATAAATTAGGTATGTTGGTACACTGTGATCGATTTACCCATCGATTTGCAACGGGCATTAGAGTAAAATGCCTTTCGGATAGTTCTCTCTTTCTTGTCATGTAAGATTAATTGTTATAATACGAAAATTTTAAAGAAAATACATATGGTATGTTTTATTAATCTGGTTCTAAAATCTATATGATTATCTTAACAGAAAAATCTCCGACATACAAAATTCTTTAAGGCTGTTTTTAGCGATGTAGTTGCTATGCAAGTAATAATTCTCTCCTCCTTCCCTCTTGGTCTTTGTGTGTTTATATTTAACATTTTTTATTTTTAACAAGACATTGATTTTGAATTTTATTTAGCAACTAAGCAAGGCATTACCTAGAGAGTGCACTTCAAAAATGAGTCTATTTGAGGTATAAGATTTAATATATATATATATATATATATATATATATATATATATATATATATATATATATATATATATATATATATATATATTCCGTATGAAAGGGGTTCAAATTCTCAATCCCAACCAATCTGGTTAATTTAATTATATATATTATTGTTAACATTTAATGAACTAATAAAACATCTTCCAACGTTATGTAACTTCGAATTTATACAGTGCTTCCAACCAAAAATTTGGTGGAATATGTGAAGTCGCCCCTGTTTATTTTCCAGTCAGGGTTTGATTCATATTAAGTTAACTACATTTAATTTATTGGTATATTACATGCTTAATATTAATTTTATTTTTTAGTAATTTTAATATGTGATTTCTTAATAGGAGCAAACTACTTACTCTATGAATTTGTACCTAGCCATTAAGAATCACTCATTGATTAGTCCAAGTGATATAGCTCTTCTACAAGACATGTTCCCATTTTTATTACAAAATAATTTTATTCAATAAATTAAATTAATTTCAATTTGACAGTATTTTAATTTTTTGTTTTAGATTTCAAAAAACAAATAATAAGTGCACTAGCGCACTCCTCTGCGACCAAAGGATATATTGTGACGTCAAAGTTTGGTCATAGCTTTGCGTTCGACTCTTATAAGAAGCTAATGTTTGCAGATACGAAATCTAAAGTAACAAAATAAAGTCTTGTATTAACATTTATTTTTTAAATAAACCATGTATTGTTGTCTTTGTGGACGAAGGACCATGAGGAGGTAACCTATACAATATGACATATAATCTTTTTTTTTTACCAGCCCGTTGAGACAGCATTCCTTGACTGGTATTTTGACAAACAACCTGTCAATTTTATAGACCCAAGCAATGTGCCATATTACTCAGGCACATTGTCAAATTAAACACGGTGTTTTGTTCTAAAACCTCTCACACTGGAAGTTGAGGAAGCTAACAAAAAATATGAAGACTTGATTCAGGTTGCAACATGTGTAGATGCAATATGGACTTGTAAACTTGCACAATGCTGAAAATATATATAGATGTACTGAAATTGTCTAACTTTTATAATTAATGGTTTAATTTTTTTTTTTCGAGTTTATGATTTTACGTTTTAAATTTGGTTTGAAAGTTTACTTGAGAGTTTATTACTTATTGTTTACCCAAACTTATTAAAAGGGGCGAGTTGAGCAACACCTTATCACTCCGCTTCAGCAAGGCGCAACCTTGTGAAAAAGCGTGTGCTTGAGCTCGCTTTTCCGGCGAGGCGACAATTCCGACGAAGTGGCAAAGCAGTGAAAAGCGAGGCTTTACCATGCAGAGCGCAAGTCAACGGTAAAAAAAAATAAATAAAAAGAAAAAACAAAAACAAAATTTTAACCTAACCCTAAGTCGCGATAAAAAAACCTCAGACCTCCGTTCTCTACTCTTCTCTGCTCACCCTCTTCGTCCCTCACTTCTTTCTGCCAATCTTCCTCGACCATCATCAACGCCGCTTCGCCGCCACCTCGCACCTCTTCCTCCCTAATAGTCGAACTCAAAATCTCGAGGTAAATCGTCCATGCTTCTCACTCTGTTTTTTTTTTCTCTTTCTCTTCTTACGACTTACATCATTGAAAACTTGAAGAAGATTGGTATGAGGTTAAAACGTTAAATAGAAATAGAGTTGGAGTCTTGGTTGGACACTTGGCAGTAATTGTTTACGACATTTTGTGTTTTTTTAATCATTTTTTTTGTATTAAATTAAGTTTTGAAAATGCTATAATTAAAATCTTAAATTTCAATTTACAGTTAATTCAATTAAGATTTATGTCTTTATTATTGAATTATTGATTATTGATTGTTGAAGTTGTGATATTTTGATGACTAAATGACTTGAATGACATTATTTTGAGGACTAAACTTTGTATTATTATGATATTGTGACATTAGGAGTTCCTATTTAGGTTATTTTACATTAGTATTTGAGTATTTTGAATATATATTAACTTTTTTAATAAGCGTTGCTTTATGTGAAAAAGCGACGCTTCGCTTTGCGCTTTCGCTTTAAAGCAAAGCCCAAGCTCATCGCTTTGGTGCGCTTTTTCGCTTTAATAAGTTTGTGTTTACCTTTAGCGAACACCTAGCAATAATATAAAGTAAACCGAGCAACAATTTGATTTAGTTAATAAAATTAATTAAAATATCACAATAAGTTTAACACGAGTTAATTAAAATATCACAATAATCCAAAATGATTTTCAAAATTATCAAAATACTCTCTTTAGCTTCCAAAATGATTTTCAAAATTATCAAACTACTCCCTTAAGCTTTCAAAATTTTCTAAGTATACCCTTTTGCTCCTAAAATGATTTTCAAAATTATCAAACTACTCTCTTTAGCTTCCAAAATGATTTTCGAAATTATCAAACTAAGCTATAGTTTCCAAAATAATTTTCAAAATTATTAAACTACTCTCTTTAACTTCCAAAATGAATTTCAAAATTATCAAAATACTCTCTTTAGCTTCCAAAATGATTTTCAAAATTATCAAACTACTCTCTTTAGCTTCCAAAATAATTTTCAAAATTATCAAACTACTCTTTTTAGCTTCCAACGTGATTTTCAAAATTATCAAAGCACTCACTTTAACTTCCAAAATGATTTTCAAAAATTTTTAAGTATTCCATTTTGTAACTTCCAAAATGATTTTCAAAATTATCAAACTACTCTCTTTAGTTACCAAAATGATTTCGTAATTATCAAATACTCTCTTTAGCTTCCATAATGATTTTTAAAAATTTTAAAGTACTAAACTTCCAAAAAAAAATAGGAAAGACAAAAAAATAAATAAATAAATAAATAAATAAATAAATAAAAACGATCGAGAGTAGAATGCGTGTCAACAAAAAAACATAACAATGCTACCTAAAAAAAAAAAAAAAAAAAAAAAAAAAGTTTAACACGAATTCGACCGAGAATAAGCACCGGCCCCTACAAAGGATAAGAATATTACATATATATATATATATATATATATATATATATATATATATATATATATATATATATATATATATATATATATATATATATATATATATATATATATATATATATATATATATATATATATATATATGATCACGAGTGAAGAAAATTTAAAATTAATCTCAACTTTACATGTGAAATAATCATAGAAATTATATCAATTTTTTTTTTAAAAAATGACATTTTTGTAATCACTAATTTTGTTATACAATCTAGATTTACATGAGGTACCATGTAAATCTAAATTTGTGTGTATATATAAATATATTGTCATAACGGATAAGATCTCCTATCAATTGCACGTTGCACCGAAGTTTGAATTATTTATAAAAATGTCACTGTGTCTTTTTATAAAAAATTACATCTGATCCGTTAAATATAAACACGTGGACAGCTACGATTGATTCTTAGTTCTTTTTTTGTGCAACCATTCTCACCTAACTGTGGCTCTCTCTCTATATACGCGACCGTTCTCAAGAACGGTCGCGTATTACCGACAATGCGCGACCATTTCTAAATGGTCGCATAAAGTCCATGACTTTCCGCGAGCTTCGCATAGGCTACCATTGTACAATGGTCGCGCAATGTCTTTTACAATGGTCGCATATGTACAGTTCTGTACTAGTGTGAAAATATATACCCCCATCTTCTTGCCAAGTTGCATCATTTTGCATTAAGAGAACAGAGAACATATAAATTTTAAGTCGGGGTTAAGAATATGTACCTGTTAATACTAAAGCCTCTCTCCAAGATACTGAAACACATAAGTTTTACCTCAACATCCAAGATTCGAACCACAGAATCTTCTCCGCAGCTTATAATTGTCTTATTCAACGGTCCCCAGTTGATTCTCCCCTGGATGCCCTTTATAATAAGCAGTCTCATCAGTTTCTGCAATAGAAGTAGATGGGTGCTCAGTCTTTATTGATAATGATACCATACAGAAATACAGAATATGTAATTCAGTGTAAATACACAGTGCAAAGATGAAAAACTATCATAATCTTAGTAAATTTACCTATTTACCTATGCTAATATTAAGGGTAACAAATCACAAAACCATTATTCACTTCCTGGCATATCTCTTTTAAATAATTTATTATATGCAAACGGAACATTCACACTGCCAGAAATTGAAGCAACAAAAGTGCTTTGAAATTCAATTCCAGCCTTTTAAAAATTCTCCAAGTTTTCCTTTTTTGTTATGAAAATTTGATCTGATCAATTTACACTTCAAACACCGATTAGACATGACAAACATTATACAAAACTTAGGGTCACTAAGGTCTGTAGCAATTCTTTTGACTTGGATTGCAGATGGCTGCCCCATGAATGGATCAGTGGCTTCATCATTTTGCATTAAGAGAACAGAGAACATATACTCCCTCAGTTCCGTAATATCTGTCTGCTTTACTTTTGGCACCAATTTTAAGAAAGTAAAGAAAAGTTAATACTTTTTCTCTCTTTGCCCTTGTACTTAAGGATATTACTCTATCTTTTTGCATCACTACATTACATATCTTCATCTTTCTTAACAAATTCTTCAGACCTTCTATCTTCTAATCTTTTATAAATTAACTTAATATTTCTAAAAATCATCATCTCTACATTTTCCTTTGCTATAAGAAAAAAAAAAAAACCAGAGATTAGTGTTCTACATTTCCTTTGCTATAAGAAGATAAAAAATGAAAAAAAAAGACCCAGAGATTAGTGATGTTACAAATAGATAGTAAGATAGATATATGGGTATTTCATAGAGTGATAAAATTATGATATACTTGACGTACGCAATTGATCGGAGATTGAGATGGCGGCGACTCCGATTTAAGACACTGGTGAAGGAGGCTAATGTTTCCGTGGAGTAATATTGAGGATCTTATGATGAAAGTAGACACTGGTGGGTTGCTGGGGGTGGTTGCGTGCTGCTCCTGCCGCTACTACTCCGACTGGTGACTGGTGAGGAAAGGAAGGATGAACCAATGGAAGATAGCGACGACAAGTTGTTTGATTAGGATGGAGGGTTTCTTGTTCACATTCAAGTTTTGAAGTGAATTACTTTGTATACCGACATTCTTCATCTCTGTCAACCTATATGCCTAATATAATGTTGAGAGGATGACAGCTGTGGGTCATTAATGAGTATGGAGCAATTCTGATAAAAGCTAGTGGGGTAAAGTTGGAAAATAAAAATATAATGATTTTTTTTTTAGAAAGTGGATAATAATTTGGGACGGACGAAAAAGAAAAGTGAGATAGATAAAAATAGGATG